AAAAAGCAAATTTTTCTACATTTTTTACGTCTCCGATATGATCACTGAGTACGAACCTGAAAAATATCCATCGCTACGCTTTCCTTCAGTTCCAGGTTCAGGCTGAAAACTAGCTTCCATACTTCCTTGAAATTGAGAAAGCCGTTTTTATTCACATCGCCCTCATAGAACTTTCTCCGCAGCCACGTAATTCGACTAATTAAAGAATTTCACGTATCTGGAGAATGTACAATTCTGCCTTCAAAATCTACGGTGTTTTAACGCAGTGTGTCCGGCACGTTTTCTGACTTTATGACTGTTGGTCAGCGTCACATGTTATGGCGGATTTACTATAGTAGGCAGGAAAGCAAGCAATCAGTCGGTCAGTCTGATGGTAACAGAGCCTGAATTAAAAATGAAAATTTTTGAACATTTAATAATCGCTCATGGGTGGCTGCATTACTTAGTCTAAACCAAAACTGTAACGCGAAATGCTCAGTTGAAATACACCAGCATTGATACTGATCGTAACCATTTTCATAAACCTACTGACAGACAGGCTAGTTAAACTACAAGAAACATACAAATAAACCCAAGTAAACCCCGTTATGAGTTCACTTTCTTAGAAGCAGCAATTCTCTCGTTGAAGTGACAACATGGAGGTGGTGCAACGGCCCGTTTCAGTGCGGGAGAGGGTTGCACGTCAATCGTCAATGATACCCGTCGGTGGTCAGAACCTCATAAAGTGCTAAGCTTCTGCAAATCAACTTCTTTTGCTCTGGTAAGGGTTGGAAGAAAGAAGGTAAATTTGTAGCTATTTAGATATCGGTTTCCACTGCATTTTCATGACTTAACGGAGTGAGATTTTTAGCAAGCTTCATGAAATGGAATTCATGGTGTGATGTTGGTCTCCATGTCAATGCCATCAACCAGGAATGCCATATTTTGTGAGGTTGAATTTCTAGCTGCAAGGCAAGCAGAGTGTATAATCTAAAGGATCCTTTCCGCAGAATCTTACACACTTGTCTGAATGGGGAAGGCGCAAAAGATTTGTCAATGCAAGATGAAGAACACTGAAATAGCAAAGGACAGAATAACTCTCATTAGAAATGGACAATCGCGTGATCAAGGAATTATTAAACTAGCCGAAAGATGGCAAACTTTTCAATAGAAGGCCTCGAGACTATTGGTGAAACGATGTCAAGAAATTTCTTCAGATAACGTGGATATGAATTGTAGATGGCAGCATTTTTTTTGCGAAAACTTGGTGAAGCCTCAATCCCGCAGTTGCAGCTTTCAGTTACGTGAAACAACATCATATGCATGAGAAACTCTGCCGTTCAACCCGTCATTAAGTTCTTAGAATGAAATGGTAAAATCGGCTATTAAACAGATTTTCTAATCTAGAGGATCATAATCGATTACTGAGATATGAAATAGGCATTTGGAGAAAAGGATATTTTTCCTCAGACAGATGCGATGATTCTTCTTTCATCTTGTCGATGACGTGATTGAGCACCGCCATCCATGCAAGCTGTACATCCGTCGTGTTGAAGACCAGATCGATCGTCTTGTAATGCCGAATCGGGTGACGCAGAATGATCGAAAGACAATCGGTTTCCTTAATGAATATGAGGTCAGTGGAGGTCACGGCATATGAAACATGTTTTGCATACACGAACATCGGTGACGAAGTTCAAATCCTGCGTTGCTCTACGGAAGTTGTCCGTGTTCCAGCCCGAACGAATTTCTAGGGCCTGCCTCATCGAAACTGAATGTTCAGTGTTATGAAAAATTCGAAATTCAAAAAATTCATGCATAAACATTAATTACCTATTTTAATACAAGGATTGAACAAGCTTCTGAATAGTTGCTAGCTAAATCGTCGGGTGTCACTTGCATTATTTGATCTGAATACTCATCTACAACGCGGTTTTGAGCTCCAGCGGTGCAGCAATATCACACAAAGATGAATCTTTAAGCGGCCCACACCCAGCAGTGCAAGGAAAAAGGTCTGATGATGATTTAATTAAGTTGGCTACTCACTGAAGTATCGTCGGCCTTGAATACACTACAGATGAAAGACAGAATAGTTTACTTTATGGCAGTTTTCCTTGTGCAGGTGTATTCAATAGCTTTTTTGGCATTTTTATAGGGAACGCGATTAAAAATATCCACCATGTAATTTTATACCGTGACATATCAGCAGAGATTGATAAAGGTCAATCAATTTCGGTATTATCAGCAAAAGCTTATGTTTTCAACTCAGATTCTGGAAGGACGAGTGTAGAAAAATGCCATTGTTAACTGGTTCATTGCTAAAGGGATGCTGAAACTCGCAAATGGCGAAACTCATTTCTTCACAACTTATTCATGTTGGTACATGAGCAAGTTCGGTCTTCCTGAGCCGATTCCCTCGACACGAATTTCACTCAGTGTCCCCATCTTTTGGTACTATACCTTCTCACTATGAGTAAAGCAGTGATATGAACATGATATGTTTTTGTCCAAATGAGGTTTAGTATCCGAGGTTGATAGCAGGGCGATCACTGCCCAGTTTTAGCATGAATATTAGTATTTCTTGTAAACATCAGTGCCTGGTACGTTCTGAAATACACTCACTAAGATGACAGACGCTCTTTGCCGCTTAAATTGACAATGACATAGCTGTAAAAGTTGGCCAATATTGCCTCACCAAGTTTCTCTGGTCTTGATTGCTCAAACAGGGCCAATGGTTTTTCCGTTCATTGTCTAATGTAATTCGCCAAGCGTTGCTCGAACCCTCCGTTCCTCTCCTCTCAGCAATGAGTACATATTTCTTATTCATAGGGAGTGTGACAATGTGAATCTTTCTCGCCCTGCATTCCATGATTAGTACGCATAATGATTCCAACTGTTCTACCCAGATTTGTTGTTGGACTATATTTCTACACAAACTTAGAGCAGATTTAAAGTTCGGTCAGTATTGGTTGTCATAGTTTATTTAATCGATTACTTCTAAGTTAGTCACTACTGCAGCTGCTCTTGTGCATTCTCACCACAGTGCTTATGAGACTTAATGCTTCGCTCATTACGTACTTTTTCTGTCTCTCATGGGAAAGGTATGGCCGGGTTTAAAAAGAATACTGGAATTTATTGCCGTGCACAAGTGGAAGAAAGCATTATGTGTATCTGTGAAAAACCGGTATAAGTTGCTACGCAGAAAATAAATCCAGAGAATGTGAAACGGCAGCGCACTACCGCTCCAATGAACAAATAGTAAGGGAAGGAATATTGGTAAAGTTTTGCTAGGGTATGGTTATTGCGAGGTTTATTGATTAGTTTATCATATTGCACAGGAAAGTTCGATAAGAGTTTAACAGCTGCGTGAAGACTTTAAAAAAGCACAAATTAGTCTTTCGACATTTTAAAGTCCTAAAGCTGGCCAATAAATTATTTTTTTCCTTCGTTGTCCAATTCAGTCATATGTCATATGAGTAATGTTAAATTGCTTATTTTCACGATTGCTTATAATAATGATGAATTCTCACTTAATGGAGGAGATAAAATGGAGGACGACTCACTGATCGGTTACTTGCAAATAAACGTTGAAGGTGCCCTTAAACGTTCTCCCTTGATTAGCTATAGTGTAATCTTTTTTATTCTAACAGATCCGCGTCAGAGGGATGAGGAAAATCGGGAGAATTGTTTGCATCTATTCGAATTCTAGCATGCGCTGAAATCAAAAAGAACAAATCAAGTCGTGTGCACCGATGATCGATTGATCACTTGATTCGACTCACTCGATTTGGTGCCATCTCTCAGCATAGCGAATGCGCATTGCTGAACTTCTCCTTGAATATGCAAATTGAACGTATCTGGACTGAGGGTAACGCGAATTGGCAGAAGGGTGCGGTTTTTCTTCAGGCGATGTGCTTCGCATCCTGACTTCACCAGCTTGATCGCCTCTTCCAGGTTTCCGTCTTTGACCGAGCAGACTGCCATGACCCAGGGCGACCGACGGTTTGACAGAGCGATGGGAATTCTAAATTAAATATCTGCATATGATCAACATCTAAGCCACAAAAGTGTCGGTCACGTGACAAAGTTTCGTACTTAACTTTAAGGTTATTGTACAGAGGTTGAAAACGTTCAAAATCACTGAAGGTATTAGCTTCACTAAACTAGAACGATCCGTTTCTCGCCGTTATTTTTACCTCGAAGAAGGCTTGTGAGACCCGGGCCTAAACGTCGGTCTGGTGAATCATATGACTGACCAAACTGTTTGTGTTGCGTATAAACAAATTGTAGTTTATACAGTTCTCAGGGAAACAGCACTTCAACAAAGTAGGCCCAATTAATTCTTGTAGGTTGTTTCAGACTCGAAAACGGTACTCACGTGATTGACGTCTGAAACACCTATAACCACGCCATGGCTCCATCGCTGAACTACGTAAGTTTCTGTTAGAAAGGAGCATGTTCTTCAACGTTCATTTTTGACTTGAAGACGAGGCCAGTTTGACTCGAAATGTTGGTGATTGTGCAAACAGAATTGCACAAACAAATTTGCAGAAATGTCCCTGTAAGGAAATTAAAACGTGTGAAAAAATGTATATCAAGTAGAGTATATAATATAGCATGCTGGAAATGGCACAATGTAGTTTTATTTATGCACAACTCAAACAATTTGTTCAACTGGGTAATTAACCAGTACCTACGTTCCTATCTCAGCGTCACATAGTCCTTCTTCAAGGTCAAAAATTAGGTGAATTTCAGGAGTGATTCTTGTAGCCTACAGTAGTTCGTACGTTCTGGCCCAGATGTCCCATGATACAGCATGTTGTAATACCTGTAGAATATGGATATAGTAAATAATAGACGTTGCATACATTGTGTGAACTATACAATATAATATGTACTCCTGCATTACAGTGC